TATCCCCATTTTACAGATGGGGAACTGAGCCACTGTGAAATGAATATCAAAAGTATTCAGTAATCCAGGGTGCCCAATGTGAGACACCTAGTACCTGTTTTTTCAGATTACTCAGCATTTTATAACCATTTATATGTTCAAAATATCGCTTCCATTTACTTCAGTTGCAGTTGTGAGTGGTCAGGACTTCTGCAAATCAAATCCTAGGATATCAAGTCAGGTACTCAAAAAAGTGGAAAGTTTGGTGTAACCAACTTGCCCAGCATCACACAGGAATTCTGTGACAGAGGTAGGATACATCCATTTCTCCAGGACAACATTCAACTTCTTTAAGCATGAGATCATCCCTTTTCTTTCTGCAGTCCCCGGCCTGAATCACAACACAATTTCCAACTTCTGCAACCAATGATGAAGGGGTCCCACAGTCTCCTTTATTACATAACCATTATTCATCCCTAGAGCAGGTTCATTCTATGCACTGAATGAGTCAGGAGTCCTGTAGAAGAGAAAAGCATATGATCATGTAATTAATGACTATCAAAATGCATATTCACAAGGGGCCAGATTAAGGTTGCACAGGCAACCGTAATCCTGGCATTTCCTAACTTTTGAGTGCTTTACTTTGCAACGCTAACTATCTTTTAACATAGGTTTTTGTGTGTAATTTCTTAATTTTTTTAAGCAACCTGAAAACCCCCCAGAAATTCCATCATGTGGGATGGCATCATATTGACCCCCACATGGTTCATCAGCATGGTTGGAACCTTCAGATCCACCACACTGACCTTTGCTACTTGAGCTAATGGAGTAACTGATACCAGTAGTAGGTTGTCATCTTGCATACGAACTACAACTAGAGCAGAATAGGACACTTTGCCAGTGAGTTTCATAGATGTTTGCTGATAGCAAAGCAATGGTGAGACTCAGGAATCTTGGGTTCCATTCCAAGTGCTGGACTGGAGTTTGCTCTAATGGTCAGATTCTTTTGTTCATTTTCCCTAAGCTTGACCCCTTTCATCTCCACAGTAGTTTAGGCAGCCCAAATCATACTGCCAGAGAGCAGCAGTGTTGGCCAGAATCAGTGTTGCAGCATTTGCTATTGCTGCGCTTGCATGTGCTGGAACTAGGGATGCAGGGCGGGGGGGAGGCTGCAGCACCCCCTGGCTTGAAGTGGTTTCCATCATATACAGGATTTACAGTTTGTTTAATGGCTCTCAGCACCCCCAATTTAAAAATTATTCCAGCACCCCTGGTCGCGCCTCCTCCTGGCCCTGGGGTGTGTGGAGGGGGCCTAGTAAAACAACCTGCAGTTATTCTTCCCAAATTTAATCCAAGGCTTTTCTAGCCCCCTTATGGTGCCACACAGTTTAAGGAGTTATAGCAGAAAGAGGAATTCTTCAACTTGGTGCTAGTCTGGGCTTTCACACTGACTCATTGCATGCTTTTGGACATACACATTAATCTTTGTGCCTCTGTTTCCCCATCTGTTATATTAATAGATTTCAATGGGCATTTTGACTGAGTTCAAGACTTAGCCCATTTATTATTTTGATTAATTCATATCCTGAAATGTGCAGAGAATTTACAAGGAGGCTATGCCTTTCAGGGCCCAGCCCATTAGCCTTATTAAATAAAGACTGTACAGAGAAAACAGGCAAGGCTGGAGCCTACTGTACGTTAAAAAGAACGTTTTATGAAGCACCTATTCTTTCATACACTAAAAGGGAGCAATTGCTACAAAGACAATTTCTTCTAATGGTTACATGAATTTGCTGTGTGTTAACCTCTTTATTACTTAGGTAGACTCTACTCATATGCAGTACTGTAGCTCAGACAACTTGTTTCTCCTTCCAAACAAATAGAAGTGGGGAAAACCCCTTTTAAGTTCCTTTGTCAATTTCTGAGCTGAGATACAGTAACAGAGGAAGCCCAGTCAGCACTGACCTTTTCAGTAGTGGTCAGGTACTTCTACTGATTACAAACATGAATGGTAGGAATTACAACTCGTTTCCAGTCTGTCTGTAATTATATTTTTAAAAAAAATTGTACCCAACAGTTGGAAGTAAGTGGGAGCTATGGGGGCCAAGCAACTCTGAGAATCAGACCACCGATATTTCCTTTTAAAGCTTCCTTTTATGAGTTCTTGCAGTTGCAAGCAGTGTCCTTCAGACCTGCAGTTGCATTCTTTGCAGTGCTGAAGGTTAGGCTGCTGTCAAATATGTCGATGGAGAGCAAGCTATAGGAAATGTGAATTACATAAGAAACAAAGCAAGAGCCTTTTTCTCTTACCGGATGTTGATTTGCTTCAGCAGTGTAACCTTCAGTACTGCAAAGCATGCAACTGCAGGTCTGAAGGACACTGCTTGCAACTGCAAGAACTCCTAAAAGGAAATACAGGGGGAAAGGCATTTTGTCTTATCAAATATAATCTAAGTGATGTGGGTAGATTAGTGAACACTTGGCAACTTTGTTTAGGATACAGTCTGCATAGGACTGTATTCTTCCAGCTTGGCAAGGAAATCTTGAAGTACCTAGTTCCTATTAATCATTACATAACACAAGTTGTTAGACATTATATATATATATCCCCTGTGGCTTTCAGCAGGACACTGGGGTTGTGAAAAGGACAGTGCAGGGCCATTTACGTTGGGTCTGTGCTGCTCCTGTGCTGAGGGAATCCTCCTTCAGCCCCTTGAGACTGATTAATGGTCCTTCTGTGCCCTTAAAGTGATTAATAGGGACTGCAGCGGGGGCCACCATTGGCCCCAAGAAGTTTCATTTGCAAACAGAGTTTTAAAGTCACTTAGAAAACTGTGACTTTCAATATTGTAATGAATGTACCCTAGAGCAATCTTACAGGCAATTAAAAAAAAAAAAAGAGCCATCATGGAGATTGGGCTGTTTCCCCAAATGTTACTGCTGATGAACAAGAAAAATGATAGTGTCACAGTCTCTGGGTAGGCTGCTCCACTGAGACCCTCTTCTCATCCCCCGAGTGCGCCCCTTTCAAGTGGCAGGCCCATGACTCCACTTCTCTTTGGGGCAAGATCCTATAATTCAACCACTCTCTGTCTGTGTCTCCAGGTTATATCTCTTCTTGCCCCCAATACTAACTGTGACTAATTCAGCAGGTCCAACTGGGGCTGGACCCTACCATAGTTTCTCTCTGGGAGCTTGTGACAGTATGTGTTTGCGGTGAGTCAGAAACAGCTTCATCAAACAAAGTGTGATTTTTATGGACTAAAAGGTACACAGAGCTTGGAGAAGTAGATTTAAAACAACAAAGACCTATCATGGTATTCCCTTATTTAAATTTAACCTCCATTTATAGCTCAGGCCCGTCTGTCTTTTTCCCCATCTCTGAGCCTTCTCCTTCTGTCTCTCCAGGGTATGTCTACATTGCATTGTAAACCTAGGTCTGGGGACCCAGGCATATGGACTCAGTGTATCCAAGCCTGCAAGTGAGTGCCCACACTGTGTTGTAAACTTGGGTTTACAATTGCTGGACCCAGGTTTCACAGGCATGCTAACAAGTCTATGCTGCACTGTGCAGACTTTTTAATTGGGACTGCGGCTTGAGCTGCGTCCACATTGCAAAATGACAGGGTTTGCACTTCAGTGACAACAGGAGTTGGGCTGCGACCCTCACCCCAGCAGGGTCCTAGAACCCAGGTCATGAATACTTGCTGACCTGTCAGACTGATTTGTGTGTGGACAGAAGTGGGTGTTGGGCTCAAACCTGAGTCAGAGCCTGGGCTTCAAGTGCAGTTTAGACATACCCTCAGTGAGTCCTCCCAGCATGTCAGCTTTTTCACTAACACGTCCTGGTCAGCATCTCTGACCATTTCTCCACTCCCTTTCTGCCAGTCAGGGTTTTTGGATCTTTTGTGTCTCCTTTGATTCCAGGCTAAGCCTTGGGAAGAGTAAAACATCCTAGCCTGGACAGAGCCAGCTAGATAACTTCTCCCCCACAGCTGATGGCCCAGCCATTGTTATCTTCTTTGAAGCTGTGTACATGATGCTGACTTATCTGTGTCCTTGTTTTACCTTTCCCGCTTGGTCCATCAACAGCCCATGTACGGCCTCCTTTGATTAAACTTTCTGTGTTTGGGCAGGCAACAATACATAACTGAACAGGGAAACTAAAGTCACACATAGTCCTAGAAAGCAATGCAACCACTTTCCCAGTTCATCACATCTGTGATGGTCACATGCTAGGTCAAGCTATTTTAGGTCATTTTTAGAGATGTTTTACATATATTAGTTATCATTTTCCTCACCTTCCAATCTCTGTACAGCTGAACTCATGATATTAAGAGCACCTGGCTTCAGAAATGAGGCACAAATAAAAGAGAGAGAGAGACTGAATCAAATTTTAAAAACTGTCCAAACCATTTGTCATTTTTTCTATAGCAAGGAGGTTGGCAACAGTGTTGCTGGTAAGAGCTTAGTGCAACAACATGGGCTTGGTATGGGCAGGGAAATTTTTGTTTTGAGCAACTCTTGACTCATGGAAAAATAATCTGAGCGTCTTGGGCTGGTCCGTGCCTTGATCTGCCTTTAGTAAGCGACAGCCTGTTTCCAAATGAGTTCTGAGAAACTTGCATGATAATGTTTTCATCTCCTTTTGAGAAGTAATAGTCATTTGAAGCACATTTTTAAAAGCAGACTCACTAAGTGGGTTGTTTGTTTTTTTACTTTAAATGTGTGAAATTTGGTGACCATGTGTATCCAAATCTGACCATCAGTACCCAAGCACAACTTCCAAGAAGTCAATTTTACTTTAAAAAACACCGTGAGAGGATAGGAAATTAAATCAGTACTTTTTAATTCCTATGCTATAAAAGCTGCCTTATGAATGGGTCAAATACAGTCCAGCTGAAAGCTAGTATGTTAAGAGGTACATACACAAAACAAAACCTAAATAGTGAAATTTAGAATGTGGATATGAAATCATTTTGGGTTAAGTTAAGTTTTCTGCTACTTTGTTTTGTTTTTAGTTTACCCAAGAGGTGTTCCTTTCTGGAAAGGGAAGCAGGACAGAGATATATAACTGTTTTTCAATCCCTTCGTTTACATGGAATAACTTCAAGTAAGTTTATAGTGTGTTTGTGACCTACAAAGCATTGGCCCACACTTTCAAACTGTCATCTGAAATTACACTCACAGTAATTCACTGTGTGCAAAAGCCCAATTTATGTACACAAGTGCGCATGCCCATATCAAGGAATTATGCAACTGTCTACCTATCTTACATAGGCACACTTCTTTTGCACACATGCAGAATGCATAGTGACAGTTAAAAGTGAAAACTCCTACTCTCCTACAAGTGAGCCGAAATCAATATTTCAGTGTTTAAAATTGGATTTCTCTGAAATATATGAAAAATATTGACCCTTGAAATGTACACCCAATGCGTGAAGGACAAGTGAATAAGGTGATCTTGAGAACCCAGCAACCTTCCAAATCAATGTAAATACTTACCTGTGTGGTATATATTTTATTGTTTTTGTTTCCATACCATTTTATTGGATTTTATCTAAAGATGCACCAAATCCCTGGAGCTGACCATGTTAACATGTGCCAATTTCATAGCCTTATACACCCCATGTGGATTAATCCTACCACAGGGTAGGGATATGAAAAAAATGCACAATTGGATGCAAGCAGGAGCTATTAATATGCAAGTGTCAGTCTGCACACGAACATGTGTATCATGACCCTGACCACTGAGACCATCCCCAGAATGCCCCTCCCTAGCTCCTTTTATGGATGATTTGCACAACAACCCTTCCGTGAATTACGTGGGGAGTCTGAAAAGTGAGGCTGGGTGATGAATTTTTAGTGGACTTCTATATTCGGATCCTCCCACATTGCCATAACTGTTCTCTGTAATATGTCTGCTTTAATTCCTTTTAATAATACAATTTTATTTGTCAAACTTTCCCCCCAAATCCCAAAGGTAAGCATCTGGAGGATTTGCGGCAGATTAACTTCCTCCCGCTGCCATGGCTGACACAGATTCTGTCCCACCATTACCATGCAGTGAGTTGGTATGCTTCTACATTGTTCAAAAACTGAAAGTGTTTATATGTATATATTCATTGGAGCTCAGACGTTTTCTTATATTTTGTTCTGAGGGAGTGCCTCAAGGCCCCAGTTAGGATATAGGCCTCATTGTGTCAGCCAGGTAATGTACAAATGGAATAACAGATGATCCCTGGCTTAAAAAAGGCTGTAGTCTAATTTTTCCTATGTAAAATTGCTTTGCTTTGGCAATCTTTTCTTCTGAGCTTAAGGCATGATAGTGGATAATATGATGGTTTTTTATGCTGTCATACACAAACACCCAGCTACGCTTTCTGAGAGAGTCTGTTTCCATTAACAACTTCTTAGACACTTCTATTGTTTTGCTATTTGTGGGGTTTTTTTCCACATAAGCAGATGGGGACAAATTCACACATGGCGTAAGCAGGTACATCTCCCATTGAAGTCAATGGCCTTGCAAAATGGGAAGAGGAAGACAGAGCACAGCTGCATAGAACTTGGACCGTGACTGAGGATGTCCTGCTAGTTTGCACTGATTCCCGCTCCCTTAGGAGTTTTGTTGCAATTGGCTGCCCAGGTCAGCAGCTGCATATCTCAAACGCATACTTTCTGAGGAGGGAAAAATGTGTAGGGGAGTTAATGCTACCTCTAAAAGAAAATACTGAAATAACAATGACAAAGAAACTTGAATCAGAACATTTTATCATAACTTTCCACAACATAAATATACTCCACTTCACTAAAAAGATCTTTTTTATATTATGGTCCTGATTCTCCATTGTCTTGCACCTTGTGTAGATTTTTATACCTGTGTAGTAGGTGCAAAATGCTACTATTCTGCTTTGGTACCCCTTTACACTCACTTTTCAATCACTTGGCACAGGTGTAAATGACTACACAAGATGCAAAACAGTGGAGAATTGGGTCCCATGTCACTAATTGCTCAGTTGTTCCAAACTGCTAGGAAGAAAAACTGTACAATCTACCATACATTGTCAATTTAAATGTAGGATACTCATTCCTATGAAGATTGCCTCACTGAGAAAGCAGCAGAAACAGTCATAAGTTCTTTGTGCCTTGCTTTGTGCTTCTTTTATATAATATATTGAATCAATGGACTTCATCAAATGGGACATATTTTCCTTTCCCTTCAGCTGGAGAATGGTGGTGACATGACATTGCAGAGAGATTTTTCTATGCAAGCTGTGAGATTTGGTCTGCTGCTTAAACAGGTATGTAACAAAGAAATCAAAATTGTCCGGTGGGAGTCTCTAGGCTTTGGTGTGTTTCTCAGTGGATACCAGTATTTTTACTCACGTACTTTTTATTGTAAAAATGGCAGCTGTTTTCAGATCTGTAATCTATTTTAAATGGGAAAACAAATCAAGGAAGATGACCTACATTTGTTAGTCTAGTTAGTTTCTTTGTTAGGACAACGAAAAATATTTTAAATAAATGAGACAAAGTAGTGTGACAGACCCAGACCAGTGGGGTACAGGAGTCTGGTAGAAGGCAAATATACTGGCCACTGGATGAATAGTTTTCTGTTCCCTGAGTGACCAGAGCAGGGGTTGCCCTAGAGCAATCAGGAACCTGCTAGAACCAATTAAGACAGGCAAGCTAATCAAGGCACCTGGAGCCAATTATGAACTTTCTAGAATCAATTATGGCAGGCAGACTAATCAGGACACCTGGTTTAAAAAGGACCTCCCATCAGTTAGTAGGGGGGTATGCAAGGAGCAGGGAGTGAGAAGGTGTGCTGCGGGAGGACTGAAGAGTTCAAGCGTGATCAGGCTTCAGGAGGAAGATCCTGCAGGGGGATAAAGAAAGTGCTGGGTGAAGGCCATGGGGAAGTAGCCCAGGGAGTTGTAGCTGTCATGCAGCTGATACAGGGAACATTGTAGACAGCTGCTATCCACAGGGCCCTGGGCTGGAACCCGGTGTAGAGGGTGGGCCCAGGTTCCCCGCATTCTCCAACTCCTGATCGGACACAAGAGGAGTTGACCTGGTCTGTGAGAAACACCAGAAGGGAAGGTCTTAATTGGAAAGGGATCTGGCCTGTTCCTGACCCACTAAATGGGACACAGAGACTGCGGGGATTGTTCTCGGTTTCCCCCATGCTGGCCAGTGATGAGGTTAGCTGAGTGGACGGCAGGTTTGAGCCACTAGCAAAAGTGGCCAAACTGAGAGCTGCTGGAAATCTCTGAGGCAAGCACATCCACCAATAAGCACAGGACCCACCAAGGCAGAGGAGGAACTTTGTCACACTGGTGTGAAAAGTGGGATCAGGTGCACCGCGTTGTGGAAAAAGGAGGGTTTTTAAAAAAAAAAAAAAAGAGGGAGAGGGTTTATTTTTTTCTCCCCCACCACAATGGATGACACTGATATGAGTCAATAGTGTGCCCATGTTGCCAAGAAGGCCAATGGCATTTTGGGATGTATAAGTAGGGGCATTGCCAGCAGATGGAGGGATGTGATCGTTCCCCTCTATTCGACACTGGTGCGGCCTCATCTGGAGTATTGTGTCCAGTTTTGGGCCCCACACTACAAGAAGGATGTGCAAAAATTGGAAAGAGTCCAGCAGAGGGAAACAAATGATTAGGGGACTGGAACACATGGGGATAGTCTTCAGAAGAGAAGAATGAGGGGGGATTTGATAGCTGCTTTCAACTACCTGAAAGGGGGTTCCAAAGAGGATGGCTCTAGACTGTTCTCAGTGGTAGCAGATGACAGAACAAGGAGTAATGGTCTCAAGTTGCAGTGAGGGAGATTTAGGTTGGATATTAGGAAAAAAATTTTCACTAGGAGGGTGGTGAAACACTGGAATGCGTTATCTAGGGAGGTGGTGGAATCTCCCTCCTTACAAGTTTTTAAGGTCAGGCTGGGATGATTTAATTGGGGATTGGTCCTGCTTTGAGCAGGGGGTTGGACTAGATGACCTCCTGAGGTCCCTTCCAACCCTGAAATTCTATGATTCTATGATTCTATTCTAAGCAGTGAGGAGGCAGTGAGGCTGCAGCAGGAGACCAATTGCTTGTTAATGGACCAGGCCACTCAAGACCGTGCTATGTCGCGGGAACTGGTAAACCAGGTGAAGGCTCTTCCAGAGCTGAACCGCAGCCAGGATGGGACACGGGTCATATGGGCCAGCAATTGGCTGGAGAAAATGATGCAGGAGGATGACATAGAGGCATACCTCCTGGCCTTTGAGAGGCCAGCCATATGGGAGGCTTGGCCCCAAGAACAGTGGTCTGGCATCCTCGCCCCATTCTTGTGTGGGGAGGCCCAGAAGGCCTATTATGATATGTCTGAAGAGACTGGGGCAGACTACCCCCATCTGAAAGCAGAGATCCTGGCCAGTTCTGGGGTAACGACCGTAGTGTGGGCCCAGTGATATCAGAAGTGGAGGTATCAGGAAAACAGAATCCCGTGGTCCCAATTATATGACCTCATCCATCTTGCACGAAAGTGGTTACGAACCGAGTCTCAGAGTCCAGAAGAGATACTAGAGATTCTGGTCATTGACCAGTACATGCGAGGACTACCGCCAGACCTTCGCACCTGGGTAAGCCAGAGCAACCCCTCCACCTACGATGAGGTTGTTTCACTGGTAGAGAGGCAAAGGACAGCGAGGGAACTGATCCAAACAGTTAAAGAAGAGGTGCCCCGAATTAACTAGTGGCACCGACCCCCAGATCTCAGTCAACTGAGCCCTCAGGAAGGCCCAGGTGGAAAAAGAGGGGGACTGAAGGCCCACCAGAGGCCACCAAAAGTCAAAGCACTGAGAGTGAAGAGGATCGTGATGTTAGACTGCCCAAACCGAGAGACGAGGGAATGCCTAGGGCCCCATACAGATGTTACGCTTGTGGGGAGGGGGGACACATAGTTGCACAGTGCCCCAATGCTGAGGAGTCTATGCAACATAACCTAGGCAACCAGGAAAACCCATGCTCCCTAATTCACATTGTGGGGGTTGCATTAACCCCACACAAATATACCAGGCCACTGAGGTTAAATGGAGTAGAGACCACAGCACGGATTGATTCGGGGAACGCCATCACACTCATCTCAGAAAAGCTCGTGAAATGTTGTCAGTTACTACAGGCAAAATGCCCAAGGGTGACATGTGTCCATGGGATGATTAGTTACTACCCCACCATCCCGGTAAAAATTGAAATCCAAGGGAACGCTACAGAGGTAGCAACAGGTGTAGTGTCTCAACTCCCTTACCCGGTGCTCATAGGGAGGGACTTTCCAGGATTTGATGACTTACTCTGAGTAGGGGGATTGGAGAAAGGGGAGGACCCTGAAGCTAGTGAGGCATCCACGGTAGACTATCAACTCCCAGTTTTCTCCGAAATTTCCCCAGACATTTTCTCCACTCCCAAGTGGGGCAGAAAGAAGAAAAAGGAAAGAAGGGCAGCTAAGGCTTTGGGAACCCGAATACTGACCCAAAGCCAGAGGGTCGCTCTTGTGGGTAGGCGGACCCAGGCAGCTGAAAAGGAGGCCACCCGGGAGGGAGAAACACCTGAGCCAGACCCCAACCCTAATGCCTCCAAACCAGCAGAAGCAGTAGAGACCCGTCCCCTAGAACTCGGGTAGACCAGCCCCAGGAGGGAACATTTCGGACGGGACCAAGCTGAAGATCCAAGGTACAACAACATTAGGAAGAAGGTAACAGAGATAGATGGGGTTCCCATGGAAGGGAAAACCCAGGGACCTAGCCCCTACTTCATTATAAAAAAGGATCTCCTGTACCGGGTTGCACCAGTACAAGGACAGAAGGTAGAGCAGCTCCTAGTGCCTCACAAACACCAGAAGGCTATATTAAGCCTTTCGCATAGCCATGTTTTGGGGGGGCATTTAGGGGTAGAGAAGATCCTGGCAAAGATCTTACGAAGGTTCTTCTGGCCCGGGGTGCACAAAGAAGTGCGGAGATACTGTGCCTCCTGCCCAGAGTGTCAGCTGCACAGTCCCCGTTCCCACTTGAGAGCACCTTTGGTACCCCTACCCATCATAGCCATGATGTCTGAGCGAATAGCCATGGACCTAGTGGGCCCCCTAGAGAAGACTACCCAGGGCCACCAATATATACTTGTCATTCTGGATTATGCTACATGGTATCCAGAAGCTGTCCCTTGCGGAACACAGCCTCTAAAACAATAGCCAAAGAGCTAGTGGGGATCTTTGCCCGAGTGAGGCTACCAAAGGAGATACTGACGGACCAAGGAACCCCATTTATGTCAAAACTAATGAGGGACCTATGTGATCTACTCCACATACATACCCTGAGGACTTCGGGCTATCATCCACTGACCGATGGGCTGGTAGAAAGGTTCAGCTGAACCCTGAAGGCTATGATAAGGAAGGCGGTAAGTCGAGACGGGAAGGATTGGGACACCCTACTACCATACGTTATGTTTGCCATAAAAATTGGCATTTTTTTGTATTTCAAGTATTCGGGTTCCGGGAGGTACCTCAGGCCTCAACTGGGTTTTCTCCCTTTGAGCTTATTATATGGGCGCCACCCCTGAGGCAACTTGGACATAGCCAAGGAAATTTGGGAGGAGGAGGCCAATGAGGGGAAGAATGTAATTGAGCATGTGTTACAAATGTGGGACCGGATCGCACGGGTCACTCCCATTGTGCGGGAACACCTAGAGAAGGCACAAGAGGCCCAATGAGCTCAGTACAATCACCAAGCCAAAGTTCAGCAGTTCCAGCCCGGAGAACGAGTAATGGTGTTGGTACCCACAACAGAGAGTAAACTTTTGGCCCAGTGGCAAGGACCCTACGAAATACCTGAACCCGTAGGGGAGGTAAATTACAAGGTGCGACAACCAGGATGTTGGAAAGAAGAGCAAATATATCATGTCAACGTTCTGAAACCCTGGCATGCACAGCTGTCTGAAAAGACCTATCCCAAGAAAACAAATCCTCCGAACAGGTGAGGGTGTCTCCCAATTTAACGCCAGACCAGAAGAATGAGGTGTCTGAGATGATCTTCCGGAACCAAGATGTGTTCTCGACAAAACCAGGTCGAACAACTGAGACATATCACCACATCATCATGAACCTTGGGGCCAGAGTAACAATGAGGCCCTACTAGGTGCCAGCAGCCAAAAGGGAGGAAATAAAAGCAGAAGTTTAAAAAAATGCTGGAGTCGGGGATCATTGAAGAATCCCACAGTCAGTGGTCCAGCCCAATCATGTTAGTGCCCAAACCTAATGGCACCACAAGGTTTTGCAATGACTTCCGGCAACTGAATAAGGTATCCCAGTTTGATGCGTACCCCATACTTTGAATAGATGAACTAGTGGACCGTTGGGGCAATGCCCGGTACTTGACTACCCTAGACTTGACAAAGGGGTACTGGCAGATTCCCCTTGCCGAAGATGCAAAGGAAAAGACTGCGTTCTCTACACCAAAGGGTCTTTTCCAATATACTGTCCTCCCTTTTGGACTACATGGGGCCCCAGCTACCTTCCAGTGCTTCATGGACAAGCTGTTACACCCCCATAATCATTATGCTGCTGCCTACCTAGACAATGTGGTCATTCATATTCCAGACTGGGAAACCCACCTAGAGAAGGTGGAGGCAGTCCTCGATACTTTCAGGTGAGCTGGCCTTACAGCAAACCCTGCCAAGTGCGCCATAGGGTTTATAGAGGCCAAATATCTTGGCTACATTGTGAGAAAAGGTCTGGTAAAACCTCAACTGAATAAGTTAGAGGCCATCCAAAACTGGCCTCATCCAAGTTGCAAGAAACAAGTCCGGGCATTCCTAGGTGTGGTGGGGTATTACCCACGATTTATCCCCCATTTTGCCACAAGGGCAAGCCCTCTGTCAGACCTAGTGAAGGCCCGTGGACCTGATCTGGTGAGATGGTCTGACGCAGCAGAGAGAGCCTTCACAGACCTATGGACTGCCCTCTGCAGTAACCCCATACTGATAGCACCAGGCAGGCAAGTAAATCAGGACACCTGGTTTAAAAAGGACCTCCCATCAGTTAGTAGGGGGGCACACAAGGATCAGGGAGTGAGAAGGCGTGCTGCGGAAGGACTGAAGAGTTCAAGTGTGGTCAGGCTTCAGGAGGAAGATCCGGTGTAGAGGGTGGGCCTGGGTTCCCCCTATCTCCCCAACTCCTGATCGGACACAGGAGGAGTTGACCTGGTCTGTGAGAAACACCAGAAGGGAAGGCCTAAATTGGAAAGGGATATGGCCTTTTCCCGACCCACTAGGTGGGACACAGAGACTGCGGGGATTGTTCTCTGTTTCCCCCATGCTGGCCAGCGATGAGGTTAGCTGAGTGGATGGCAGGTTTGAGCCACTAGCAAAAGTGGCCAAACTGAGGGCTGCCGGGAATCTTTGAGGCAAGCAAATCTGCCAATAAGCTCAAGACCCACCAAGGCAGAGGAGGAACTTTGTCACAGTAGAAATGCTAGATGATGTGTATTAATTCAAAATCCTATTTTTCATTGTATTCATGGACCCTGAAAACGGCAGAGGGTAAGCTGGGAATGAGCTGACTTCAATAGGCATTGTATCAAACCCTATGTAAATTGACAGTTATCTATCTAATGTATAGCAGTTGCAGTCCAATTCCAAATAGGCTAGTGTCTACAAGACAAAATTCACTGTCATAATTGTCTCTGAAGTAGTCAGTGACTGAATGGACCTGAACACCACTCTCAGACTGAGACACATGCGGGAAGAAGCTTGCACAGGCGCTGCCAGTGTGGCATGTGCTTTGTGCGGTTAAATGTCTCCCTTACAATTCTGAGGGCCTAGGTAAGGCTTAAGTAAGGCATTGGCCTTGTGTTGGCCTTCTGCACTGTGGTGAATTCCACCCTGGATGAATAGAAAATTCATTATATGTTGTAATCAGACACAACAGAAGGCCTTCCTTCCTGCTCTATCCTTCCAGGCTAAGCTCCTAATGCTCCTCCATCCCAGTTGCCATACATATTGGAGACACTTTGGTTTTGATGAGCACATAGAGGCAAAGAATAATAAGACACAGACCCCAGGCTTCCAAGAGACATCCCCCTGAACCTAAAAGTCCCCCCGCCTTAAACGCCCCCTTACAACTCTTGTGGATCTAGAGCATTATAATTTTTAATGTCTGTATTTGATTTTCATTGCACTCCGCTTATAGCTTTCCACTAGTTTAAATATAATTTCACAGCGACTGCATTTTTTCTTTTACATGACAAGCAAAATGAGGTTAAATGTCTCCCTATTTTTCCTAATAATAATTATCTGTGATTTCTGCCCACATATTTTTGAGTTTACTTTGGAGAGAGTTTTTCTTAATTAATTGTCCTTTAGGAGCCACGATATCATGAAGAAATAATTTCCATGTATGGATTCTTCTTTGAGATAAAAGCAATCAGACATGAAGTTTCAGCATACAGCTTTTACATTCAAGTAAGATAAAAGCACCACTTGCCTTATGTGAATTCTGTTTATTATTTATCTGATTATTATGTTTGTTTATTATCTGTTTATTCTGTTGCATTATGTAAATTCTGACCTTGCTATAAGGTAAAAATTTGAGGTTGAGAATAAAGGCAAACAAATGTAGAGTGTGGGATTATACAAGCATCATTATGCGTTTTCTTTCTTCTGACTCCAAAATGATTATTCACGTGTCTCTGCACATGATGATTTTAACTAGAATCAGAAGTGGGAATACTAAAATACCACTCTGTATTCACTCTGTATTTTAAGGTGTCAGTCAATAATCAGGAAATACTGGGAAATCCATAAACAGCTTATTCTCACGTGATTTTCCTAGCCCAGTTTTGAGAACATAAGTAGCTGACAATCTGCATGAAATATCAGCTGTGTCTCCTGCCTAATAAAACATGTCATCTCACATGTTCTTTGAGTGGTATCTTCAACGGGGCATAGTAGAATGGACATAATCTGGTACTTGGTATAGATTCTAAGCCTTTTTCTCCTAAAGGGCAGGTAATGCTCAGCATAGACTTTTGGAAAACGCTAATACTGATAGTAAATTGCATAATGAGATGCTGACTGAAAAGTGTTTCATAGTGTATGTGTTACCATTTTAATTCTTCCTTCCTCCTGTAAGAGTCTGGTTTTAATTAGATGTCAGTTAAATGCCAAAGTGAGAACTTCTCTCCTAACCGTTTTAAAGTGCTTGGTTCCCTTTGTGTTTGGTGGCTTATTATAGACTTGAATCAGCAATGTGGTGGTTTCATTTGTTTAGCAAAATTAACGTGGTCAGTAACAATTTCCTGTTCAAATAAGTCCTAGAACATATTGCTAAGTTTGATGTTTATAAATACTGTGGGTGCAGTACAGAGGACTTAATCCTGCAAGTCTTCTGCATGAGGAACTCCCATTGCTTCCAGGTGATACAGGGCATGATCCTACAAAATTCCCACCAAAGTAAACAGGAGTTCTGTGCTTGCAGGGTCAGGCCCATGATTAGAAATGAAAAAGGTACACTGAGAAGTGAATGTAGTAATACTCTGGTCATGCCCCCTCCCATTCCTGACCTAGCCAGACACTGGGAGCTGACAGAACAGGTGACATAGGAAACAGCTACACTTGCGCTATACTAGGTGGGGACTTCCTTGAGCTGGAAAGATCCAGCAATTTTCCAATCCCTTTTTGCCACTAAACCAACACAAAGGGGGCCAAATTATAGTACAGAATTGAGTCTATCATTTATTTTCTTTTTTTTCATGGAAATGTAATGACTTTTCATAGGACCAAACTCAAAGCTGGAATAAAACACCACTGACTAAAACACCACTGACATCAGTGAAGTCTCATTTATTTACACAGCTTTTAGTTTGGACCATAGTGCCTTTCATCCAGAATGGTTACAAAGTGCTTTAGAAAGTATAGGTCCAAATCAGCAGTCCTTACTCAAGACAAATTCCTAGTGATTTCAAAAGAAGTTTAGACAGGAAAGACTGCAGTACCAGGTCCTCTATACAGAGAAATCATTTCACTCATCACTGAAACATGTCAGTTGTTTAATAGTGCATAAGAATCTGACAGAGTACAGCCCCTCAGATCAAGAACTGAAGAATGCCTTGTCCATTTGAAATTACTAAAGCAGTTTTAGGCAGGCAAGGGTAATTACCAAAAATTTGGCTCATGAGATATTCTCCACTCCTACTGAAAGTGCCATAGAAACATTAATAATCAGAGCTTAGTTTTACATCTCATCAAGAAAGTAGCATCTCTTGAGGGCCATTTGTTCAATACAGAATCAGGAATAAGAATGTCATCAATTGACTCACCAATATAATTCCATTCAGCCTCCAGAAACAGATTTTCTTGGAGGTCTCCCATCCAAGGAATGGCCTGGTCAGTTCCTGCTTAGATGGGTACTTGCTGTGATCCTGAAGATTTAAATCTCAAATACCAAGTGAAATGGATGAATATTTGAGTTGGTTCTCTAATAAAGAAATGTCATTACTACGATATTGCATATTACAGATTTGTAACTGATTTGGATGCAATGTCTTTTCAGAGAGTCAAACACACAGACCAAGCTTTATCTTTTTTTACTGCTGAACATAGCCCTGTCAGCCTTAGACAGGAGCGAGAAGTTAAATATGAAATAAAAGCACAGTGCCTGATGGAGGGGAAATGGAGGGAATTCAGTACTGATCAACTTACCCAAAAGTTTGGCATTACCAAACCATCCTGCAAAAGCCAAGTAAGTATTTGTAAAAAATATAAACTCTGCCATGCGTAGCCTTGCTATGTCCAAAAGTTGATATAGCATCCATGTAAAACAAGCATTCCTCACAATCAAAAAGCTCAGACACTGACAGGATACTCTTTCAGAATGATACACAAGACTGAAAAATCCAGTAGAAATGTGTGTGAATTTCAACCTATGAAATGCTGACAAATGCTTTAGAAACACTGGACCTGATCCAAAGTCCATTGCAGTCAATGGAAAACTTCCCATTCTGATTTTACATTATTAAATACCGATGACAAACATAATGGCATTTGTGCCCAAAGTGAAACACTTTGCCATTGATAGGAACACGCAAGGTTCTGTCTGCAAGTACCTCTTAGACATCACCACCAGCGTCTAGCAGTTTGTTTAAACAGCTGCCTCATATAGACTGCTGACTTGCGTTCCCTTTTGGCATATTTATTTCTTCATCCTTTTCCATTTATCCTTGGCAATCTAGGTATCACAGTTAACTAATTTGGGGCTTCCTAATGGTTGCATAGTATTTGCAAAACTACAGTTGGTTTATATGGTATCAGCTTAATCTTCTTAAAGTTTAAATGTTTTGGTCGTCAATGCCAATATTTCTAGCAATCCAGTCATTAACTCGAATTATCTCCATAAAAAATGGTTTTATCTAGGGTTTGATTCTGGGAAGTGTTGACTGCCCTCAACTCCCTCTGAAATTAGTGGAAATGGAGGGAGCTCAGCCCCTCTCAGAAGTGAAAAGCATCAGGCAGAGATAAGGCCTAATGGAAATTCTTAACTGGTTAACCCAGCAAAGTAAATCACTCAGGTAGTAGTAACAGTCTATGCAAATCAAATGTTTAAAATGGTGAGTGTATTTCTTTCCTTAATCTTACTTCAAATGCAGGTTAAACCAAAGCCATTCAGAAAAAGAAATTGGCCAAATGATGTTGTGTTACACATGAGCAACCAGGTTGTGGATGTAACTGAAATCAGAATTTATGCTAATTCTTTGTGTTTATATAATGCCTCTGATCTGAGGATCTCACCATGCCTTATAAACATTAATTAATCCACAGCCCCCCTGTGAAGTAGGTTACTACCTCATTTTACAGATTGAGGCATGGCCAGTTTAAGTGATTTGCTTGAGGTCACAGATGGGGTTAGCGACAGAGGCGAATGAAACCCTCATGTTCAGACTCCTAGTCCTGTGAACTAACCACTAGACAAAGTGGACAAATACATGTATAGTGGTATTAGTACAGATTATACTCCACTAACAAAATACCATGTTCCTGTGAAAACATGGGAATAGGTTGTTCCATGGTTAGATTCTAGAGCTCCCTTTAGCAAAAAGTCATTTAAAAAAACATTTAAGGTTCATCATCAGGCTTCTATGTCATGACTTTTCGCGTCTTATTCAGAAAACAAAAGTGCCTGTTCACTCTTCCTTCAAAACCCAGATTCCAGGTACAGATAATATATCCTTTGCCCCCTCCCAGGCAAGTACAGTGACCAGATTTACCCCTTACTCTTTTAAAGGGAAACTGCCTCTTCAGTAAAAATTCAAAAAAACAGTTTTGCAATTTTTCTGCTGAACCAAGCACTAAACATGAGTCATTTGTAGTTAACTAATTATGGTGTTAGATAAATACTCCAATGTTAATTTTGGTTTGGTTTTGGGTGTAGGTCTTGAAAGCACGGATACCATCAATTCCAATTTATGTGACATATGCTCTTCTTTTTCCATCATCTTGACTTGCGAAAAGAAATAAGCACTAGAGTTTTCTCTCGGCTGAAAACTGATTTCATCACTTGATATTATCAGCAGAGGCGAATCGTGTATTTTAAGGGTACAGTGTGCTTAGCCAACTAACCACATTTGTCATAGTATGAAAATAAACTGCAACCTTTCCTTGTGTCATGCTCATTTCAGGATTAAATTCAATCAACTGCCTGTTTCTGTTACCCATAAATTATAACTGCAAATTGGCAATTTCTATTTGATTCGACATGGACTCAAATTACAAAATCTGGCTCTAGATTTCAAACTGAAAGTTTGGGGGTGTTCAGACCTGGGTTTCCCATGGTGTATTTTGAGCTTCCCATTACTGAATAATACTTTCCAAGTTGGCTGCAACTATATGAAAAAGCTGTTGCTTCTGCAAACCATGAATGAGACTAACGTAGGTCACTAGTACCAATTAATCTCTACAATTTCCACATACCACTTCTGTGCTCTACATCACCCCTAATCCTTAGTCAGATCCCTGGGTGCAACAGTGTTGGTGCTTGCATTCTAGTGCAGAGTTTTCATTAGCTTTTGTGAGCTGGAAATAGCTCTTCAGTGCCATCCAATCATTTTACCAACTCCATTCATAATGGACAAAATACAATATACTGGCTGAAAACCTGGCTTTGTTGAAGTCAATGGGAATTTTGTCACTGACTTCAATAGCACCAGGATTTCACCCACCCACCCACACACACTCTGGCACTCTTATGCCATGTAAAAGGGCTGGCTGGAGCAGTGGAAAGCCCTGTATCCAGATAAGACAGGATTCCACCACCACAGGTATTGTGGAAAACAGCTGGAAGGCTGCATTCCAAGAATTTCATTGTAAGCCTCTGTACAGGACTGGGTTGGAGCTGGGGTGCGGCAGCACCCAGCACTGTGGGCAGCAGAGCAGCCTAGAGCAGCTGCCAGAATTCAGAAAGGCCCTCAGAGCAATCTAAGATATGTCCTGAGCCTTTCCAGCCCCAGAACAGCCCGGGAGCAGGAGTCCACAAAGATGGCTTAAAGCTTACCCCACCCCTTCCTCTGGGCAGTGCGTCCTGTGCTGCACCTCTTAGAGTATTTAGTCAGCTAAAATCAAATGTAATGGATCTCATCTAATCTTATTAAATCCACAAACTGAGTCTAAACTATATGTTTAGGATGTTTAGGAAACTAGGATGTTTCCAGCATTATGCGCTACAATGAGAGTTTTGCTTCTCTCCCACAACAGTCTGCTTTAACATACCTCTTGATGAGAATATATATTCAAGATACTTTATGTAGCAGTAGTGACTTGGTTTTCAGGTTATTTACGTACAGTAAAACAACAGATGCTGTGGTCTCTAGGACAAGGCATGTGACTTGAAGACAGTAGGCCAATTCTGCTCTCATGAACATCAGTGTAGTCACTCCATGTTCAACCTACTCACCCTCAGGTATTAGTCCTGGCTGTGTCACTGACTCACTCAACCATTGTTTACACCACAAACTTTTTCCTGACCTTTCCTACTGTGGTAACCAGTGGTTCAGCTCCACCAATGGTAAAAGCAATGGGAGCATTAGTGTAGACAAGGTACTAAGATCTGCTGGTGTTTTAAGTACTGTGCCACGTAGAACTGAGAAAGGTAAGGTGACAAGGCACTTAAAACACGGATGGCTATTCTACACTAGCACTCCCATCTCTGAACCCCACCGGTGGAACAGAACCACTAGCAGAAACAGGTTACAGTATTGTACACATTCATAGACAAAATACAGGCAAAAAATGTAACATACCTAACCCACAGAAGTAGTCAGTGTCAGAACTGGGATTCCAAACTATGGATGAGATCCTCATTCCTGCTCCAGCCTCTTTACTCTAGCTAAAAGGCTCAGAGCATGGAAAGGGCTCTAAAAGCCTCACTTCCAGCTGGGAGGTGATTCCCCTGGAACAGAAGCTATGACAGTTGTAAGGCTGTGGAAAATCCAGACAGCATTGCTACCCCTAGGGCTCCCTTCATTTATATAGGGCACCAGAGCTAAATTACACTGTGGGCTTCTACAGCCCTTTCAGAAGCCCAAGATCAGGAAGGTGGTAAGGGTGGCTTAAAGCCACCTTATCCTTCTCCCCATAAAATGTGAGATCTGTATTGTGCATCTCAGAGGGGCAGCACAGAACTTCACCCCAAGAGTTCCTTGTGCCCCATCCTGTGATCAGACAACTAGCCCATATCTGTATGAAAAATAAGAGAATGCTAACAATTATGAAATCATGCCATGGGAGAATAATGTTGCTTATTTGTCAGAAAATACATTTCTGAGGAGTTTTGTTTGATTCTCACACACACTGTCCCCATTATAATCCGTCGCTTTATAAAATGTGACCCAATGGCATCTGCAAAGTTCTTGGCATCTCGAAACAGCTATGAATAGATCACTATATATTTCTGATTAAGCCACTTCATTTGTAATTCCAGTCAGACTTGCAATCCTGTAAATACATTTACTCTCATGATTTTTACTACATAAAATGCAATTTTCTTGCAGTTATGGGGGCAGGAAAACATTCTTTTTAAGACTGTCTGCACAATTCTACAGCATGAGGTTTATTTTATGTTGGCTAATACAAAAAACAGGAAGTTCCATATGTATTTTGTCCCTACACAAAATTTAATATATATATATATTAAATATTAAATATATATATATTTCAGCTATCTTATATTTTTGCAGTCCCTTCTGTAAAAGTATACCCAGTTACCAGATGGCTAAGTCTTTCACTCTAAACTTTTTCTAAGAATTCTACAATAAATCCTTGTTTAGTTATCAAATAGTGAAATATAAACATTGGCTCATTTTAATGAATCATCTTGTTACTGAAGTGGTTTCTTCCATTGTGATCCAATATTTTATCCATTATAGTTTCTTTATGTTCCCCTTTATCCTAAAGAATTGCCTAATGAGCTAAAATAAAAATCAAGAAGCATTTGTATTTGGAAAATAGGGTCTGCAGCAGGGATGCAGAGAGCTGGGAGACAATTGGGCACACACGCTGATCTTTTTCCACATACTCGTAAACAAAAATCTTTATTAAAAGAGAGTTAAGGTTGAATGTGCACATCAGTGGAGTCCAGCCAACACCCTTGACAATATTGTAATTTCTTTACAAAAAATCCACACTTAATTTTAAAAAAAAATTACAAGGCCAGAACCTCTGCCCTCCAAATTCACTTTGTGCTACTGAAGTAGCAAAAATTTACTAATTAACTATTAGGTCACCAAGGATTCAGCCCACCCCATGTTGCAGGAGACAGGCCTGGGAAGTTGTTAGGAGACAGATAGAGTGGAGCCACTGTGTAATGTGTTCCACCAATTCCCAGATAGTGGACCAGTTCCTAGGGGATCTATTCTAGCTGCTCTGAGTTAGTTAAGCCACCAGTTTTGCCCTGGTAGCCTGTGACTGGGAGAGATACAAAGGTGGTTTCCTTATCTCTCCACCACTGCACCCTGATCAGCTGATGATTTGTCCATAATTTTTGGAAATGGATGCATCTTTCATCACTAACTATAAGCCCAGATGACTTACACCACCCATCCATCTTAACTTTGTCCCTTAAAATTTGCAACTCCCAAACAACAATTTACATTAGCTGTGATATTTAAAAAGAAAAGTAAAGCTAAGGGTGTTTCAGCAAATGTAACTATGCTAAGTTTATGGCAAGGGTTAGCATGTGATTGTGGGAGATTGCAGGAAATGTGATGTAGTTACTGAGAGAATGCAGACAGATGTCAGAGATATTTTTGTATTTGTAAACAAACAGTTGAACACCCAACTCAGGTCTTTGCAAAGTCTAGTGGAAAAATATCCGTCAGCCAAGTGAAGGAAAACAAACTTGAATCACACAGCAGAAATACATGCTGTTTTCTTGATCCTTTCCTAGACCTTCGGGGGGAAGCGTTTGAGTGCCTGGGAGACAGGGATGGCATACTTTGTTCTTTAATCATTTCAAGAAAAAAAATCTGCCATATATATCTTTGCAAAGGTACAATTTCAACATCATCATGTTCTTCAAAAATGATACCTAATTCTTTTCTTTTTTTTTCTCTTCTGTTTTTGGATACTCACCCGCACACCCCCACCACTAATCTCTCTTCTTTTTACATCTTTCCCACATCCGTCTGCTCAGCTACTCCCATCTCTTCCTCCATCTGCTTTGCCCTTGCCTGCTCAATTTCTTTATTCCCTTCAGCCACCCTTGACCTCCGTAACGCTCAAAAAGTCTTCTGTGTATTTATGACGTTCATGACCATTGTCACTATTTCAGTATCTTTCCTGTTGTTCCTTCCCTATTGACCTAAGTGATTCACTGGACACAGTAATGCCTTCTTAACCTAGGGTCTGATTCTGCCACCATTAGGGTATGTCTACACTGCAATTAAAAACCTGTGGTTGACCCATGTCAGCTGATGCAAGCCAAGGGGCCTGGGCTAAGGGGCTGTTTCGCTGTGGTGTAGATGTTTGGGCTTGGGCTTGAGCCCGGGCTCTAAGACCCTGTGAGGTGGGAGAGTCCCCAAGGTTGAATGTCTATACTGCAGTTAAACAGTTCCTCAGCCCAAGCCCCGTGACCAATGCTTAATCTGTGCCAGGACTTGCTCGGGTGAGCCCTGGCACCTGGAGGCTTGGCAGTTTATAGCCCCGGCATCTCTGGGCTTGCTGCATCAGTTATAAATGTACAAAAATTGCTTGAGCCCTGGCACCTCTTTCATTACAAATTAAGCACTGCCTGTGACCTCAAGTTAGCTTCAGATTTTTAATTGCAGAATAGACATACTCTTAGTCATGCTGAAATTTCAGTTACTTGTAGTTTGGAGGCTTTTGATGGCAGGAACCTTTCTCTTTATCTCATGGCATTGAAGAAATAATTATTAATGATTAATAACAAGACTTTGTAGTTCTGCAGTGTTGCCTTTCAAGGCCTTCTTTGTTTCATTTTAGGTCATGACTCATCTTAGAGGTGG